CTAACAACTCATAAAACATAAATGACAATAACTTCATGTATAATGAATTCAAGGCAATAAATAACTAATGAGTTCAATTACACTTACCATCAACAATTCTATGCCTTAAGCCTTAATTTAAGGTTTCATTAAAATCTACAAACCCTAGCATAATCCCTAAAGTCATGGGAGGTTTTTCCTTACATTTTTAAAGAATTCCCCCACCAAATCCTTTGCCTTTATCTTCTTTTACCCATTATTCCTACATATATAACATTATACCTTAACATCTACCTTAATTTAAATCACATCAAAACTAGGTTTTTATTTGACCTTAAACCTCTCAATTTGAAGATCCAAGGCTCCTATCTTGTTCTCCTTGAAAAACTATGCAAAACTTCTTTAAAACTTGAGAGAGAAAGCTTGTTCATGAGGATTTGAGAGAAAATGGAAGAAATGTTGAAGAAATGATATCTCCCTTGGCTTGAACAATTTCCTCTCTATTTATAGGAAATATTTTCATTAATTTTCCAAAATTATGCTATTGGCCCAATTATTTTAATTATATACCTCATAAGTCTTTAATTTTCATATAGGCATTTTGGTCATTTGGCACTAAACATAATTATTACTTAATTAATGTCGTTAAATGCAATTAAGCCTACCATCATTGACTTTTACAATGTTTATCCAGAGCAAAATGACTATTTACCCCTATACCCTTTTATGGATATACTGTTCCAAATAATTGACTATTTTGCTCTTAGTTAGATTTTATGATTTTTTAACATAAAATTAATATCTAAATGACTATTTATGAGTTGTGAGCATACCTTGACATCTTGGGTATTACAAATGTATTAGTTAATGAGAATTTTATTAATACATATTTTGTTTTTATTTTTATTTATGTTAATTGTTACTTTACTCTTTGACCCCCCTAAGTTTCATTCCTGGGTTCGCTCCTGGTGTGAACTAAATTCATTCACAGACAAATACTTGAGTTTATTGGATTGTTGACAACTATATTCTTCCTGTCTTCAAAGGGTGACAGATCCTGGATAATGCAAACATTTCTGAACTATGATTGGTGCTTGCTCACATCACATATGTTAGCTCTTATTTTAGACATAACCCACATCATATGTTCGTATTGAAAATTTGGAGGTCCTTTTTATTTTATTTATAAAACTACACCTCAATAAAAAAAAAAAAAAAAAAAACCTCTTTTTTTCTGTCACTCTACGAATTAAGGATAAAAGTCATGGTAGGAGGCTGAGGAAGACGCACACCATAAAATTGGAAGGTGTAATGAGATGACGCCAACTCTATCATGTAGACTATTCAACGCAGGAAAGGTGAAATAATAAGTTGAAACAACAAAAAAAACAGAGAAAGAAAACAGTGAGATGATGACCTCTCCGACTCTGCCTAAGAGCTAAGACTCTGTAGTCGTCATTGGGCCTACATACCCCACACGAAAGAAAGACTGGTTATCGCCGAGGGACATATGGAGTATTTTTGGTTAGCGGATTCAAAATATTCAAGTTGGAAATTTATAATAAAATTTGATGGGGGTTAAATTATAAATAAATATACTAATTTACAACAAATTTTACAAAGATTTATATACAAATTAATGTGACATAAAATGAATGAAAGAATAAATATAAAAAGTCAAACTCTCATATTCACCTTCCATTTATTTTTTTCCATATCATTTGTATAATCTTCGTAGACTGTTTGTACATGTAGCATTACTTTTATAAATATTATAACTATTTTTTTTTTTTTTTTTAAGTTTGAATAGGTTTAATATAATTTAATAAAGTCAAAACTTATATATTATAAAAATATAAATCTATTTTTTATTTTTTCCAAAATTTGAGTGACTTCCATTGAACTCAAATTTTATAATGTGATTAAGTCTCTAATCCGCCGCTCCTCCCCCCTTGAGTACTACTATCGCTCACCATAATAGTATAATAATCCAATCCCTACTCTTGAATCATATAATTATAACCCTCCACCATAATAATTTGCTGCCTCTATCCCACTTTTAAAATATTTATATTCAAAGTGCCAACAATTATTTCCACTCAACTTAAATGGATCAAAATCTCAATTAATCTCCTTCATAATAAAAAAATTAATTCAAATCCATCTTTGTAACTAACTTAGTAGTGGGTTTTAGCTCCACTCAAAGTCCAATTATGTCCATAAACCACCACTAAAGTAGGTCCATGTACCCATACCTGATACGACGACGTAGTAATCGATCACTAAACCCCGAGGAAATCACTGGATTCTCACCGTCTCCACTCAAAACTTCCAATGGCCTCCCTTTGCTACTCAGGCACCCGCTCCTGCGCCTTCGGCTGCCGCCAGCTCCTCGCCCCGCCCCGAAAAACTATATGTTCAGCCACATCTTCCGAGCCGACTCAGCCGGACGAGAACGTAATTTCGAGACAAAACCACCGCAACAGTCTTCACCATGAAGACCCTCCACCTACAACAAGTGAACGATCCTGATTACAGGAGTGGAGGATAAAGAGAATGAGATCCTTCGAGATATCCAGCCTATATGTTTCTTGCCAAGAGATTATTCACTCCGACAGGTTAACCTCTATTCGTATTTTTTGTGTGTGTGTGTGTGTGTGTGGTTTAGTTAATTGTCTTATCTGGTGTTACTGAGCTTAACTGATTAATTTTATGAGAGCAAATGCATGTTTTGTACTGTTTATGCATTTGTATTGCTTTCTTATTGAAAGCTTTTAATTTATTTTGAATCATTAAACTCTTTAGTCATATGTTATTTGATTAGGATCATTTGTGTTAAGCGTGCTAATATCTAACTTAAATAAATTACTATAAAATGTTAAGACAGTGTGCTTTTTTTATTAGGTTAGTAACTGTCACTTGAAATTTGATTAACGAAGCTCTTACACGTTCATTTTCTTAAGTCAACTCTGATTGTTCCTTTATCTCAAACGTGATGGTTTAGAAAGTTGTTGAGTTAATAATGTTAAATATTATATTTTGACTCCTAATCATGTCAAAGAAGATATAATAGCTACACTTTGTTGTTTAGAAAAGAATACGTGGCAGTGGTTCTTTTTTCTGCAGATCCGTGGTTACATTCTGCTAATTGCTCAAAATATCTTGTTAAACGGATGAAAACTTCAAAGGAATCAGATTATGCTGAAAACCAGGCTGCTTCCTTCTCCACTTTAATTTTTTTAGTTGTCATTATTTATTGGCATAAAAATTTGATAACAATGGTTTCAATTTCTTAGAAGCCAGCCTTCTTTGGATCCATGGTAGTTTTTTAACCAATATTAATTTTGAGAATTGATGTGTGGCTTCAGCTCTATCAAGTGCCTTGTCATAGTGAATTTAGCTTGATTTTGTATAAGAAACTAGAAACTAATAAATAAAATACTTTCAATTTTTAAACTTTTCACTGGACTGACAACTATAAAGGAACCAAGCAACTTCATATCCTGATATTTAAATAATCTCATAGAAATTTGTGATGCCATCAAAATTTTGTCCTGAGTTGATTCATACTATTCGCCACTGAAGAATTAGCTAACACAGAAAAGCACCATTTTGAATTAATTACAAAACTTTTTTAATCTCTTCGAGCTGAATTTTCTCATGCCATAAGTGCACTTTTTATCTTTTCTATGTTTGAGTCTGCAACCACAAGAGTACAACTTAAACAATATCGAATAACTTTCTTTCCGTATTATTTGTTGTGTTTCTTATGGATGTTGGTGTAAAATGTTCAGTCGTCCTTATGTTAATATACTTTTTTCAGCTGGCTATTTTTCTTTTCTAGTTGCGGGACAAAATTTCAGAATAGATCACATAGAATAATATACCTGGAGAATTACAAAAAAGTGAATGGAAGTTGTTTTTCACAATTCTAATGATACCTTAAAAAGGTGGTTTTAAGTGCATTTGGCCTGTCTTACAGGCAAGCTAAGTGTCTGTCTGACCTGAGTCCTGTATCAGTTACCTTACTATGGATCAGCTCATCGAGGGACTGCTGTCAGCTTGAGCTTCAACTGGACTTCAATTAAGCCAGACAATCAAAACACTCATATGACCCTTATCAATTTCGAAGATTCACCTCTGGCAGGACTTTGACCTGAAATTTTAAAGTTTTAACTCATCTACTTACTAATTGAAGTAAAATCTTTCTTTCTGAGTAGGATGAATTTAAATCAATTGAACTACAAACATAAGATACACACACATGCATGTTTGCACATACACACTTAAACATGCACACAGACAGAGACACATCCACTTACCTTAGATCAAGTGAACTTCTGATTGTTTTAATTTTAGTAAAGCTTAGCCAAGCTGAAACTGTGGGAGTGATGCTAGCTGAGCCCAATTTACATTCCTATCTGCACGTTTGAGACAGTTTAAGTACAACTTGGGCAGTTTAGTTGCATAACTCAGTTTTATCGTTCATCTTTGACTTCTTGGGTACAGGATTCTTTGAATTTCCCTGCAGACATATTTTGATTTGTCCCCGCTTTATGTGGGGTAGAAAATTTTGACTTTCAACATAAAAAATTAGAACTTTAATTCACGGATAAATCAGGTGATTACCTCTGATTGGTTTTCTTCACAAAGCTTGGTAAGATTTGGTGGGTTTTTGTCTCACATTTGATTGGCATGTAGATATGTAGACAGAAATTTTTGCCTGCAGTCTGTCTCGCCTCCATTATTTGTCATTTGGAATCCTCTTTTCCCTATGTATTTCTCACCTTTTTTTTTCTCTATTACTATTAGGATCTCTTCATAGGTTGGGATTTGTTAGTAACAGAACTGATTATTGTATTATTATAGGCAAATTTATTTAGGTACATGTCGTTGGATATAGATGGCTGTCCTAGATGGCTAAATTTTCTCACTTCAGCTTATTTTTTGTCTGTTATGAGATAAAAGAATTATTTTCTCTATAGGAAACAAATTAATAAGTCTTTTTAACTTCTCTGAAGGTTGATCGACATCCTGAATACAGGCATTCAAGGTGCCTGTATGTTGTTAGAACCGATGGTGGATGGATAGATTTCTCCTACCAGAAGTGTCTTCGAGCATACATTCAAGATAAGTATCCATCCTATGCTGAAAGATTTATTCGAGAACATTTTAAACGTGGTAGTGGTTGATATTTGTTATTGCGGTTTCTGATGCCGGTCTTAAACTATGATTTTGGTGCCAGTTTAGACTGATGTGTACTAAAAGATTTGAAGTTTTCATGCGATCGGGGATGGGTCCATGGTATGGGTAATCTGCATACAATATATAGCCTAGATCTACAGATTGTCAATGTAGTAGATAATTGTTGACTGGCACTTGAAGTTTTGGACAAAGAAAATGATTGAAATGAACATCACTTTTTTGACTTGGAGCTTCGCTCTTGTTGGATTTGCATGTATATTTGGCTCATTTGGTCCTGAGAATCCAATTTTTATAATTTTGTAGGGATTCTCAGATTACTAAATTATATTTGTAAAACCCTTTTTGACCGACGGTTCAATTTCAATTCAGGGTTAGAATTTGATGGTTTATTACACATTGCAAACACTCTATTACCTCCAATTTCATCGGAAGGTCATAACGACAGTCAACCCCTATCATACCTGTTCCAAGAAAAACATATTTATATACTTATATATTCCTTTTCCTGCAAGTTGTAATGTTATGGTGGATAGTGTTTTCTGCTACTTTGACGTCTCTTGAGGCAGAAATGTGATGACATTAAATATCGAATCATCTGGATATTTGGTCTGATGGGTCATATCAGATTTTAACCTACATTATTCACTGAGTGATTCAGTGATCAGGCGTGTGATGGATTTACTAGGAATTCTTTTGGTACTAGTAAAATTATAATTACACATACAATTTTGGAAACTAAATAGCTGCAGACCTACGGTGTTCTGGTCCCCACTTCAGTAGTTCCTAAGTAGTTGAGGCAGGATTTGGGCGCGTCGAAAGAGTCAAGCCCAGCTGGGCTCGTTGTCCAGTTGTGAAAAAACTATCATGAATGTTCTTATTTTGGAAGACAGACACAGCCTGATTATCGAGTATTCAAGGCACGCTACAGTTTGATGGCATGCCAACTTCTAACTTGCCAATCGACGCTGAATTATTATGGAATTTATCTTCCAATAAATACAATTTGGGTTGTTTGAATCTTCTTGCTATTCGTTCTTTCATGCAGGTGTTGTCCTGTTTTTTTAAAACAGATTTTTTGCTTTGGGCTCCAACAGTTAGATGGGCTAGAAATTAGAATTTATCTTCCAACACGGGTTGATCATGCACTTTCCTCCTTCTCAGTGGAAAGAAATAAAATAAAAAGAATATATGATAGGAGGGAGGGCTTACTGTGAGCAGATGAGGGCGTTCACTTTGAATTATAATTCGTCTGCCATCATACTTCCTTCCACTATAAACAATATTTTATCTTTTTATATTTGTCAACATTTCTAAAAATTTCCCATTTATTTTATGACTTTGTCATTAATAAAAATGATAAATTTAATAAGAATCTAAACAAAATTACTTGTATTTATTTAACATATTCAGTTACAGTTGATGTATTCTCCAATTTAAAGTGCATCATTGTTATGTTTGTTTGTCTCCATTAGCTAACTTCCAAATTTCAATGTATTGTTGCATAATTAACGATTTGTAAGTATGTTATAGGTATCTTTCATGCTTTAATTTATAATACATACCATCTGTCATTCAATATTATTAATTATTCATATTGTTGATACGTGATTTTGACACTAATAACTTTACACGTAGTAAAATATTAAGAAATCATGTGTGAGATAATTATTAAGGTTGATTATGGTATTATTTTCACAGTAGCATGCAAAAACGTAAAGCAATAAATGAACAGTTGATTTTTTATAGTGGTTCAGATGTTTAAAGCGAATCTTATATCTATTGTTTTCTTATATGAGTATGTTCTTGGTCGTTAACCAAGATTACACTAGATTGCAAACTGTGATCTGGTATTACAAGTGTTTGGTGTTATAAGGATTCTTAGAGAATGTCGAGCCAGTCTATTTCTCGTAGCATGTCTTTGTTATTTTCTTTGTTGAATTCAAGGGATCTGATCCCGATTTTGTGAGGGGGAGTTGCCTATTTATTTTTGTTGTACTTAAGGTAATGATTACAACCTTGTAAGTGAGTTAGTGCCGTTAAAATCTCTCATATCTTCTTATTGGTTGAGAATTAAAATAATATCTTTAAATGAAATGGAGCATGGATAGGAGTGTGAACCAAGGGCGGACCCACATGGGGTCACGTGGGGTCAATTGACCCCACTTGGTTTTATTTAAAAAAAGAAAATTTCAATGTTGCCCCATAAAAAAACTACATTACAAAATTACAGTAAATTAAATTAATTAAAATTTTTGACCTTCTCTAATAATATCTTTCCCCCATTTTTCTTCAATCCCAACTTTTTCTCTTATCCAACGTGCCCCGTTCCATCTCTCCAATCCCTATTTTTCTCTAATAATATATTAAAATTTATGCAATTATTTAATTTTGTGTTTAGTCTATGTATGATGAAAGATTTACTTAACTTTACAAATGAACTTTCTCAAGCACTACAAAAAAAATATCAAGATATTGTAAATGCTATGAACTTGGTTGAAGCGTGTAAGCAAGCTTTACAATTGATAAGGGATAGTGGATTGGAGAATTTACTTAACAAAGTTTGTTCTTTTTATGCCAAACATGACATTGATATTCCAAATATGGATGACAAATTTTTTATTCAAAGGCGATCACAACGGAAGGCTAAAGATATCACAAACATGCATCATTACCGTATTGAAGTATTTTAGTGTCCTAGATATGAAGCTTCAAGAGTTGAATAATTGTTTCAACGAGGTAAACATTGAATTGCTTATTTGTTTGACATGCTTATGTCCAAACGAAAATTTTGTTGCTTTTGATAAGCAAAAATTGATGCACCTTGCTTAACTTTATCTAGAAGATTTTTCTAACTTATAACTCATAGTGCTTGATTCTCAATTTGATATTTACATTGGATGTACGTTCTGATGTTAAATTTATAGAATTGAATGAGATTGGAGATCTTGCAAGAGTGATGGTTGAAACTAAGAAGAATAGAGTGTTTCTATTAGTTTATATGTTGATAAAATTAATATTGATTTTACTGGTTGCCACTGCTAGTGTAGAGAGAGCATTTTCAGCAATGAATGTTGTGAAGAATCGTTTGCGAAATAGAATGAGTGATTAATGGTTGAATGATAGTTTAGTTATGTATATAGAGAAGAATGTATTTGATAGTATTGATAATAAAGTCATCATACAATATTTTCAAAAGATGAAATCTCATCGAGGGCAATTATAAATTGTAAAACCCCTCCCCAGTCAAGTACCCTTTGAATATCCCTCAATGAGAATCTAGAGAATTCATGTTTGGGGAACAAGTTGTATTTAGAAAACCTGTGCAAGAATAATAATAATGTCCAAAACATTACTGTAAGATGTACCGTAGGATTAAAATTTGTCCCTTCAAAAATAAAAATAAAAACTTAAATTCCTTTGGGCATCAATCAATCAAAACATATTAATGCCATTTTAATTCATATGGTGGAAGCTTTAAAAAGGTGTTTCAAAAACATTTATCATTTACATTATTTACATCAAGATGATAATAAATCATCTCCCCTCACGTGTAGCCCCGCTGTCTCTAGCATCATTCACTTCTGGTTTACTCGCAAAACAATCAACAATGAAAGAGTGAGCGCTAATCGCTCAGTAAGGAATGATTCATTTCATTCTAAATGTGTTATTTGACCTTCATTTAAACATATTTATTAACACACCATTTATCCTTTACATCTAGGTATACTTTCCTTTTCTTACTAATTCATATGTTTTTCATCATTTTATCCCATGGCTATATAATCAATGTGCACACATATAAATAAGTATGTAAACATAGTACACACACATCACATGTCATGACATAACATCTAAATATTATCTAACATAAGAATAAATCATTCAATGATGTAAATAACATCGTAACTCATGTAATGCAACTAAATGCTGATTCACTAAATGCATATGAATCATTTAACGTCTAGTCGATCGGACTTTTCTTAGCATCTGAAGCACTTTATATCATCTACCCTCAAATTCATCTAGAGCTCATATCATCGGGAGGAGTGCTTACGCTTTATTTAGTATTTAAAGCATATATTCATCTTTCCTCAACTAGTATACGAGGACATGCTTACGCGTTATTTAGCATATATTCATCTTTCCTTAACCGGTATACGAGGATATGCTTATGCTTTAGTTAGCATCTAAAGCATATATTCATATTTCCTTTCATCTAGCCTCAAATTCATCTATAGCTCATATCATTGAGAGGCGTGTTTACACGTTATTTAACATCTAAAGTATAGATTCATCTTTCCTCAACAGGTATACGAGGATATGCTTACGCATTTTTCATCATGTCTATATGCATCTCTAACATTTTATGGTATGTAAATACATGTTTTAGTGAGCTTAATACTTTTGATGCATCTATGGATTATCAATCCATTTACATTACCTCTTGCTCAAATTCATCATCTTAAAACATATATTACATTGCATCTTCATGTCCTTTCATAACATTAATCATGCATTCGCATCCATGACCATGTATATCTTTCAAAGATCATCTACCTAATGGGTAAACATTAATACACGGCTTAATTACAACAATACATTAATAATCAATTCATAATCATAAGAATTAATTATCTTAAATCTTAAACTTTAACAACCAAAAGTTTATTCTCCAAGCCATTTTCCCCCATTTCTAAAATGAATTGGATCTTGGCCTAATCATAAAAGTGATAAGGCTATGTCTTAAATTTCTAATGCTTCAAGAACCATTTCATTTTGATTTTTATAACTCAAGTTATGGTCGAAATACTGAAGCACGTTTAGCATAACCCCTAAACTTACCAAATCCGAATTTTTTTCATATTAACCCATGCCATACCAACTTCTATTGACAATTAACAAATATGTCAACTTATGGATTAATTAAACCTCCCCTTAATAGTGTTTAACATCTTAAAGGAAAGATAAAACCTCACTCCCATGATCATTGCTATAACATTGTAAGTTAATGCAAACTACACATCAACACTTCTAATACAACAATTCAACACCATGTGACCTCCAATACTACAAGTTTTGCCACAATCAACATCAATACTTCATTTTATTCAATTAAAACATAACAACTCATAAAACATAAATGACAATAACTTCATGTATAATGAATCCAAGGCAATAAATAACATTAATGAGTTCAACTACACTTGTCATCAACTAATTCTATGCCTTAAAGCCTTAATTTAAGGTTTCATTAAAATCTACAAACCCTATCATAATCCCTAAAGTCATGGGAGATTTTTCCTTACCTTTTTAAAGAATTCTCCCACCAAATCCTTTGCCTTTATCTTCTTTTACACCTTATTCCTACATATATAACATTATAGCTTAACATCTATCTCAAATCTTTAAATCACATCAAAACTAAGGTTTTTATTCCGTACCTTAAACCTCTCAATTGAAGATCCAAGGCTCTTACTTTGTTCTCCTAGAAAAATTATGCAAAACTCCTTTAAAACTTTGAGAGAGAAAGCTTGTTTTATGGAGGATTTGAGAGAAAATGAAAGAAATGTTGAAGAAATGATATCTCCCTTGGCTTGAATGAATTGTCTCTCATTTATAGGAAAATATTTCATTAATTTTCCAAAATTATACTATTGGCCCAATTATTTTAATTGTATAACTCATAAGTCCTTATTTCTTCATATAAGGGCATTTTGGTCATTTGGCACTAAACATAATTATTACTTAATTAATGTCGTTAAATGCAATTAAGTCTATTCATCCTTGACTTTTGCAATGCTTATCCATAGGTAAAATGACTATTTTGCCCCTAATACCCTTTTATGGATATACTATTTCAAATGAATTGACTATTTTGCTCTTAGTTAGATTTTATGCATTTTAACATAAAATTAACATCTAAATGACTATTTATGAATTGTAAGCATACCTTTTAACATCTTGGGTATTACATAAATGTATTAGTTATGAGAATTTTGTTAATACAAATATTTGTGTTTATTTATATTTATATTTATGTTAATTGTTACTTTACCCTTTGACCCTCCTAAGTTTCATTCCTCGGTCCGCCTCTGGTGTGAACCAAATTTATTTACAGATAAACACTTGAGTCTGTTGGATTATTGACAGCTATATTTTTCCTGTCCTCAAAGACGTGACAGATCCTAGATAGTGCAAAACTTTTCTAAGCTTTGATTGGTGTTCGTTGACATTAACATACGTCATCTCTTATTTTAGACATAACACACACCGTATGTTTATATTGAAAATTCGAACCTCCTTTTTATTTTATTTATAAAACTACACCTCATTATTTAGATATAAAAAAAAAAACCTCATATTATTAAATTTTTCTGTCACTCTACAAATTAAAGGATAAAAGCCATGGTCAGGAAGACGCACACAACAAAATTGGAAGGGTGTCCTAGATGACGCGGGAAAGGTAAAATAATAAAAGTTGAAACAGGCAAAAAAAAAAAAGAGAAATAAAACAGTGAGATGATGACCTCTCCCTAAGAGGCTAAGACTTTGTAGTCATCATTGGGCCTACATACCCCACACGAAAGAAAGAACTGGATCTGCCGAGGGACGTAGTGAGTATTTTTGGTTAGCCGTTTCAAAATATTTAAGTTGAAAATTTATAATAAAATTTGATGGGGTTTAAAATTATAAATACAATAATATTAAATTTATAAATAAATTTTACAAAGATTTGTGTACAAATTGATGTGATATAAAATGAATGAAAGAGTAAATATAAAAAGTTAAACTCATTATATTCACTATTTCATTTATTTTATTCCACATCAGTTTGTACAAAAAATTTTATAAGATTTGTTTGTACATGTAACATTACTTTTATAAATATTATAAAATATACTACTTTTTTTTTTAAGTTTAAATAGGTTTAATATAAATTTAAATAAAGTTAAAATTATAAAGATTACAAAATATAAATCTATTTTTTATTTTTTTCAAAATTTGAGTGACTTCAATTGAACTCAAATTTTATAATGTGATTAGGTCTCTAGATCCGCCGCTCCTCCACGGCTCCACCCTTGATTACTACTATCGCTCACCATAATAGTATAGTAATCCAATCCCTACTCTTGCATCATATAATTATAACCCTCCACCATAATAATATGCTGCCTCTTATCCCACTTTTAAAATCTTTTTTAAATATTTATATTCAAAGTGCCAACAATTTATTTCCACTCAACTTAAAATGGATCAAAATCATAATAAATCTACTTCATAATAAAAAAAATAATAATTCAAATCCATCATTTGTAGCTAAACTTACTAGTGGGTTTATAGCTCCACTCAAAGTCCAATCGATCTATGTCCATAAGCCCACCACTAAAGTAGGTCCATGTACCCAATACCTGATCCGACGACGTAGTAATCGATCACTAAACCCCGAGGAAATCACTGGATTCTCACCGTCTCCACTCAAAAGTCGAAACTTCCAATGGCTGCTCCTTTGCTACTCAGGGGCATCCCGCTCCTGCGCCTTCGGCTGGCCGCCAGGCTCCTCGCCCCGCCCCGAAAAACTATATGTTCAGCCACATCTTCCGAGCCGACTCAGCCGGACGAGAACTTAATTTCTGAAGACAAAACCACCGCAACAGTCTTCACCATGAAGGACCCTCCCAACTACAACAAGTGGAACGCTCCTGATTACAGGAAGTGGGAAGATAAAGAGAATGAGATTCTTCGAGATATCCAGCCTATAATGTTTCTTGCCAAAGAGATTATTCACTCCGACAGGTTAACCTCTATTCGTATTTGTGTGTGTGTGTGTGTGTGTGTGTGGTGGTGGTGGTGGTTTAGTTAATTGTCTTATCTGGTGTTACTGAGCTTAACTGATTTAATTTTATGAGAGCAAATGCATGTTTTGTACTGTTTATGTATTTGCAATTCTTATTGAAAGCTTTTAATTTATTTTGAATCATTAAACTATTTAGTCATATGTTATTTGATTAGGATCATTTGTGTTAAGCGTGCTAATATCTAACTTAAATAAATTACTATAAAATGTTAAGGACAGTGTGCTTTTTTTATTAGGTTAGGATACTGTCACTTGAAATTTGATTAAACGAATCTCTTACACGTTCATTTATCTTAAGTCAACTCTAATTGTTCCTTTATCTCAAACCTGATGGTTTAGAAAGTTGTTGAGTTAATAATGTTAAATATTATATTTTGACTCCTAATCATGTCAAAGAAGAGATAATAGCTACACATTTGTTGTTTAGAAAAGAATACTGTGGCAGTGGCTACTTTTTTCTGCAGATCAGTGGTTACATTCTGCTAATTGCTCAAAATATCTTGTTAAACGGATGAAAACTTCAAAGGGAATCAGATTATGCTTAAAACCAGGCTGCTTCCTTCTCCACTTTAAATTTTTTTAGTTGTCATTATTTAATTGGCATAAAAATTTGATAACAATGGGGTTCAATTTCTTAGAAGCCAGCCTTCTTTGGATCCATGGTAGTTTTTTAACCAATATTAGATTTTGAAAGATTGATGTGTGGCTTCATGCTCTATCAAGTGCCTCGTCATAGTGAATTTAGCTTGATTTTGTATAAGAAACTAGAAACTAAATAAATAAAATACTTTCAATTTTTAAACTTTTCACTGGACTGACAACTATAAAGGAACGAAGCAACTTCATATCCTGATATTTAAATAATCTCATAGAAATTTGTGGTGCCATCAAAAATTTTTCCTGAGGTTGATCATAATATTCCCAATTCACAAAAATGTGTAGTAAGCATAATTTTTCAGATTTATTTGGCAGTTATCACAGAGACTGTTGAATAATGCTTACCGGTGGTTGAAATTGGAGCTCATGGTCTTTGATGTATAGAGATTAATTACTCTTTATGAACCAATTATGTCTTCATCTTAAGTTATAATGCTGTATTTGATTATATTTCCCGCTTCTAGGTATATGGGTGGAGACCGTCTAACGGCAGAAGATTCGAGAGCTGTGGTAGAAAAGCTTCTTGTTTATCATCCACATTGTGAAGATAAAGTTGGATCTGGTCTTGATTCCATTATGGTAAGTCAAAGTTTGCATAATCTATTATATAATTATGGGGTTGTTTGGATGGGGTTAATATTTGATAACTGGGGTAATATTTTTTTAAATTGAGTAGATGAAGATGTTTGGTTGATTTGTAAAAAATTATTCCCAGAATCAAATAGTGGCATTTGGGGATAAGTTGCCCTTGTTATTGTCATTATTTACAGAAATGCCACGAAATGTTGTTGAACCTAGATCTAGCCATCACCGCCAGCCACCGTCAACCGCCGCTGGAGGCTGCCAAAAGTCACCATAATGGCGTACGACTGGTCGTATATGGTCGATTGTGCGTCGGTGAGGCCCTTTCTGGTCATAGATCACAGATACATGGTCAGAAACGGCCAGATCTGACTGTTTCAGGCAAGATCTATAGTCGTTTCACGGCCAAAGACCTGGCCATTTCACGGCTAGATCTATGGCCTTGACTAGCGATATATGGCCGGCCGTGCAATGGTGAGACCCTTTCCGACCATGGATCACATATATATGGTCGGAAACGACCAAATCTGGCCGTTTCACGGCTAAAGACTTGGCCATTTCACGGCCAGATCTGTGGCATTGCCTTCGGCTGCCTGTGGTGGTGGTTGGCTGTCGGAAGTGGCTTGGGGTGCGTAGGGGTTTTTTTGTTTTTTTGTTAAGTTTAAACCCTTTTTTGTTGCTAGGGTGCTTTTTGCTAAATTTGAAAAATAGAGGGTTAAAAGAAATTATTCAAAAAATTAATAACAAACAATACTATTATATTAATATATAAAAAGGAGGGCAATTTAGTAATCTATATAACATACCCGTCATTTATTCTCCCAACCAAACATATTATTTGTCAATTTATTCGAACTAATCAAACACATTTTCTAAACATTCCTAGTAATCTTCAATGTGATATTTCTTTCTATTAATATAATATTTTCTTATAATAAAAAATTATATGATCCAAACGCCCCCTATTGAATATTTTATTTTACTTACTGTAATGAATCTTTTGTGCTTGCTATTTTACAAATTATTTTACTTTCAATCTCCATTTTGGTCAATTTGGGAGTTGCAAAAACAATTCAAACAATGTCATCTTCAAATACTCTGCATTCTTCTGCATTAATCCTTTCATTTTTTATCAATTAAATCCTCTGTCAAATATTGGTCACCTTGCCTATTTCTTGCAATTGAAACCCTTGTTCTTTTTGTTCCTTTATCTTTTTTGCATCTTTGATGTTTGATATTCAAGCTCCAAGGAAAGGGGCGGTTGTTGCTCATCATCCATTAATTTGTTTGTTGTTTCTGCTCATCTTAATAAGTTTAGGAAGATAGGAAAAAGTTTTCATTCTACTAATTGAATCATACTAGCAATGCATTTTGGTACCTTGTCTTATGAAAATTAAATATGTAAATTTGATCCCTTTATACTGTCATGGTCAGGGCCAGGTCATCCATCAATCTAATTTTTAAAATCACTTTTGCTTCAGCAAATTCTCTATGGGAATATTGTCTTATAAACCATGTGATTGCTTCACCTAAAGGAGACTAATCAGAAAGCATCTTGCGTGGTAATCATCATGGAACCGATACTCTTAGTTTCTTCAAGAGTGGGTGATGAAGTTTTTTTTTATTGCTTAATTCTGGATATGGCATAATGTGCTGTAGGCTAAAATCGTTCCTCCAAATAATAATTTAAATTCTTAGCTATTTTTTTTCCAAACACTGATACAGATGATGCTGGATCCATTTATTGTTTGCCAGCTTCAATTAGGCCACTGAAGAATTAGCTAACACAGAAAAGCACCATTTTGAATTAATTACAAAACTTTTTTAATCTCTTCGAGCTGAATTTTCTCATGCCATAAGTGCACTTTTTATCTTTTCTATGTTTGAGTCTGCAACCACAAGAGTACAACTTAAACAATATCGAATAACTTTCTTTCCGTATTATTTGTTGTGTTTCTTATGGATGTTGGTGTAAAATGTTCAGTCGTCCTTATGTTAATATACTTTTTTCAGCTGGCTATTTTTCTTTTCTAGTTGCGGGACAAAATTTCAGAATAGATCACATAGAATAATATACCTGGAGAATTACAAAAAAGTGAATGGAAGTTGTTTTTCACAATTCTAATGATACCTTAAAAAGGTGGTTTTAAGTGCATTTGGCCTGTCTTACAGGCAAGCTAAGTGTCTGTCTGACCTGAGTCCTGTATCAGTTACCTTACTATGGATCAGCTCATCGAGGGACTGCTGTCAGCTTGAGCTTCAACTGGACTTCAATTAAGCCAGACAATCAAAACACTCATATGACCCTTATCAATTTCGAAGATTCACCTCTGGCAGGACTTTGACCTGAAATTTTAAAGTTTTAACTCATTTACTTACTAATTGAAGTAATATCTTTCTTTCTGATTAGGATGAATTTAAATCAATTGAACTACAAACATAAGATACACACACATGCATGTTTGCACATACTCTCTTAAACATGCACACAGACAGAGACACATCCACTTACCTTAGATCAAGTGAACTTCTGATTGTTTTAATTTTAGTAAAGCTTAGCCAAGCTGAAACTGTGGGAGTGGTGCTAGCTGAGCCCAATTTACATTCCTACCTGCACTTTTGAGACAGTTTAGGTACAACTTGGGCAGTTTAGTTGCATAACTCAGTTTTATTGTTCATCTTTGACTTCTTGGGTACAGGATTCTTTGAATTTCCCTGCAGACATATTTTAATTTGTCCCCTCTTTATGTGGGGTAGAAAATTTTGACTTTCAACATAAAAAATTAGAACTTTAATTCACGGATAAATCAGGTGATTACCTCTGATTGGTTTTCTTCACAAAGCTTGGTAAGATTTGGTGGGTTTTTGTCTCACATTTGATTGGCATGTAGATCTGTAGACAGAAATTTTTGCCTGCAGTCTGTCTCGCCTCCATTATTTGTCATTTGGAATCCTCTTTTCCCTATTTATTTTTCACCTTTTTTTTTCTCTATTACTATTAGGATCTCTTCATAGTTTGGGATTTGTTAGTAACAGAACTGATTATTGTATTATTATTGGCAAATTTATTTAGGTACATGTCGTTGGATATAGATGGCTGTCCTAGATGGCTAAATTTTCTCACTTCAGCTTATTTTTTGTCTGTTATGAGATAAAAGAATTATTTTCTCTATATGAAACAAATTAATAAGTCTTTCTAACTTCTCTGAAGGTTGATCGACATCCTGAATACAGGCATACAAGGTGCCTGTTTGTTGTTAGAACCGATGGTGGATGGATAGATATCTCCTACCGAAAGTGTCTTCGAGCATACATTCGAGATAAGTATCCATCCTCTGCTGAAAGATTTATTCGAGAATATTTTAAACGTCGTAGTGGTTGATATTTGTTAATGCGGTTGCTGATACCGGTCTTGAACTATGATTTTGGTGCCAGTGTAGATTGATGTGTACTAAAAGATATGAAGTTTTCATGCAATTCGGGGATGGGTCCATGGTATGGGTAATCTGCATACAATATATAGCCTAGATCTACAGATTGTCAATGTAGTAGATAATTGTTGACTGGCACTTGAAGTTTTGGACAAAGAAAATGATTGAAATGAACATCACTTTTTTGACTTGGAGCTTCGCTCTTGTTGGATTTGTATGTATATTTGGCTTATTTGGTCCTGAGAATCCAATTTTTATAATTTTGTAGGGATTTTCAGATTACTTAATTGTATTTGTAAAACCGTTTTTTGACCAACGGTTCAATTTCAATCCAGGATTAGAATTTGATGGTAGATTACACATTGCAAACACTCTATTACCTCCAATTATATAAACCGTCTGAAGGTCATGATAACAGTCAACCCCTATCATACCTGTTCCAAGAAAAACATATTTATATACTTATATATTCCTTTTCCTGCAAGTTGTAATGTGATGATGGATAGTGTTTGCTGCTACTTTGACGTCTCTTGAGGCAGAAATGTGATGACACCAAATATCGAATCATCTGGATATTTGGTCTGACGGGTCATGCCAGATTTTAACCTACATTATTCACTGAGTGATTCAGTGATCAGGCGTGTGATGGTTTTACTAGGAATTCTTTTGGTACTAGTAAAATTATAATTCCACATACAATTTATGGAAACTAAATAGCTGCAGACCCACGGTGTTCTTGTCCCCACTTCAGTAGTTCTTAAGTGGCTGTGGCAGGATTTGGGCGAGTCGAAAGAGTCAAGCCCAGCTGGGCTCGTTGTCCAGTTGTGAAAAAACTATCATGGATGTTTTTATTTTGGAAGACAAGACACATCCCGATTACCGAGTATTCAAGGCACGCTATAGTTTGATGGCATGCCAATCGACGCCGAATTATTATGGAATTTATCTTCCAATAAAATACAATTTGGGTTGTTTGAATCTTCTTGCTATTTATTCTTTCATGCAGGTGCTGTCCTGTTTTTTTAAAACAGAATTTTAGCTTTGGGCTCCAACAGAAGAAGGGCTAGAAATTAGAATTGTTACGTGGAAAATTTATCAAAGGGGTAAATAAAAAGAGAAAAAGGTACAGGTGTAATGGGTCATTAGAGGTCAACTCCTTCTCATCATCATGGCACAGCTTCAATCTCTAGTAGTTAATGAAAAGATCTCGATGTATATGCTATAATTACGGGGCAAGCATGATGTTTAAACATTAGACTCTTGTGGGTGGACCCCTAAAACTCTGAGGACCTCCAGCACACAGCTGGATATATATATAAAATATAAGTCCATGTGGACCCTTACTATAAGCACCCAATTAGCATAATGAGTTTCTTAGTACACTATAGAGATTAGAGATGGGGCTACATGATTTGTAAACTGTTGAGAGCTCAAGAAAGACGATGAAGTCTTGCCGGATTCGTATTTCATAGATTGGTCCCATCAGCTAAACAGTCTAGGTAAGTAATGGCTTGATGAGTTCCAATAAAGGTTTTTGCTTTGTGATTGAAAATGCCACACTTTCTGATTCTGAAGAAGAGTGTGGCCTTTATCTGACTTTGACTAGATTGATGAAACAGCTGTTATTGTTTTAGAAATTTGAGAGAAAAGTGAAAAAAGAATACTGTTGTTATCGTAGAGCCACTTTGCTCAGTTATTGACTTATTGTGGTTGAATTTTTCGGAGTTTTGCGTCCGTTGTGGTGGTGGTTGTGTGGAGTGGGCTGGAAACCAACATACCAACCACTATATCTACCACTACAACCTCTCATTTTACCCGCCATTGATGTCTGTTTTAATTACATGCTTTCAATTAATCCTTTTTTACGTCCTCTCAATGTACTGTCAACCTCTCCACCTCCATTTCTTGGCTTTCGAGCCTGTAAAGAAGAGCATGAAAGCAACAAAACAACACGCGTCTCTATGCCTAAAAACATATAATACAGAATTAGAAATTCATTATGCATACGGGCATTCACCCTTTTTCCCACGTAGCACGAAAGGAGCAAGTTTAGAAACTTGAAGACAGTCACTCACACACACACACACACACACACACACACACACACACACACACACACACAGACATACCTTCTCTCTCTTCTTATATTTACTCGTTGTCACTCGTTACATTACAATTACAAAATAAGCTGGTTAGGGGAGACGTCTTTTTGCAGAAAAGAGGAATTGAGTTGTCCTACTTATTAGTAAAATGGAAATTTCTATTTCCCATAAATCATCAATATACATAAAGAATGAACTCAAATTCTGAAATGAATATAAGTAGTATTTATGTCTCTGTTTCTTGAGACGTGGAATTTACTTTATACTTTCACATTTAGAAAGCTGGGGAATTAGATTCCAGAGGCCTTCTGTTGCTTTTTGCTAAGACTCGTCTGCCAATTAATTAAAGCAGCGATATGTAACATTGATGAGAAAAACAAACACTACAGAATGATCAACTCTTAAATATATTATTCAAAAGATCTTGAATTCGATCTATTTAGATTATTAATAAAAGTGATCACTCTGAAGATTTATCTGATTATTAATTTTTAAAAACTTAAAAAATTAATTGAAGTGTTTGTAAGTTTTCGAACTTTGCGGACCAAACAACATGTGGATCTGGGGCGTTGTGTGGAAGGAATGGCTCATTCACATTATGATCTATGAACTAGGAAGCAGATTTTCTGCCTATTATATCACTTACTTTTTCTAATACTGCGGCCATAAAAATGTTGAATTTAAGAATGAACAAGAGACGCCAAATGCGTATCATGTCATATGCATGATTAGCATATTTAGATTAATATAATTTTACAAAATAAAGCACCGGCATTAATGTTATGTAAAAGGAGGGACGCGCCGCTAGGATTTTTGTTTACTGCTAAGTATGCATGTTACTTTCTTTTACATGCCATTTCTGATTCAACAATATTCTCATTACATATTGACCCATTACTGATACATATGTTATAACATTGTTACCCAAGATTTTCCGCATTATACTTTTGTCCTTTCTTAGCCTACTCCACATTCTGTACCCAAATTTTAAATTAGAAGCTTTACTCGTCTCGATCTGAAACTTCCGGTTGAATTTGCATTTGCTGCCGATTGCATCACAAATTGCTTGAACACACAGTACAGGGCAGCCTTGAAAGACAAAACATCAATATTAATTAATTGTACTTATCCTTCAACAGACTGTTTATAAAACAAGAGAGAGATCAAGATAAAAGAGAAATTAATTGGAATTTTTACTTTTATGTATTTTTGTGGTTGGAATTGGAAAAGCTCAATTCTTTTCTCTTTCTGTCTATCAATACTGCATCTGATTCAGAGGTTACTTTCAAGGTGTCGGGGTGTGTGTAGAATAGCTCTCCCGCCCGCGCCAATTAACTTCTCCTCTCTTAAATAAAATTTTCAATTTAATAAAAATAAAAGGGAATATATAATCAATATATATATATAATATTAATTATATGGTCAGACCTGTAGAAAAAAAGCTAACACATGCAGCTCCTCCTCTTTTATATTCAAAATGATTACTATAACTAATACTATATTCTTCAATCATAAATAATTTACAAAATATTTTGAAGATCTGAAATGAGGAAAATGAAATCCANCCATTGATGTCTGTTTTAATTACATGCTTTCAATTAATCCTTTTTTACGTCCTCTCAATGTACTGTCAACCTCTCCACCTCCATTTCTTGGCTTTCGAGCCTGTAAAGAAGAGCATGAAAGCAACAAAACAACACGCGTCTCTATGCCTAAAAACATATAATACAGAATTAGAAATTCATTATGCATACGGGCATTCACCCTTTTTCCCACGTAGCACGAAAGGAGCAAGTTTAGAAACTTGAAGACAGTCACTCACACACACACACACACACACACACACACACACACACACACACACACACAGACATACCTTCTCTCTCTTCTTATATTTACTCGTTGTCACTCGTTACATTACAATTACAAAATAAGCTGGTTAGGGGAGACGTCTTTTTGCAGAAAAGAGGAATTGAGTTGTCCTACTTATTAGTAAAATGGAAATTTCTATTTCCCATAAATCATCAATATACATAAAGAATGAACTCAAATTCTGAAATGAATATAAGTAGTATTTATGTCTCTGTTTCTTGAGACGTGGAATTTACTTTATACTTTCACATTTAGAAAGCTGGGGAATTAGATTCCAGAGGCCTTCTGTTGCTTTTTGCTAAGACTCGTCTGCCAATTAATTAAAGCAGCGATATGTAACATTGATGAGAAAAACAAACACTACAGAATGATCAACTCTTAAATATATTATTCAAAAGATCTTGAATTCGATCTATTTAGATTATTAATAAAAGTGATCACTCTGAAGATTTATCTGATTATTAATTTTTAAAAACTTAAAAAATTAATTGAAGTGTTTGTAAGTTTTCGAACTTTGCGGACCAAACAACATGTGGATCTGGGGTGTTGTGTGGAGGGAATGGCTCATTCACATTATGATCTATGAACTAGGAAGCAGATTTTCTGCCTATTATATCACTTACTTTTTCTAATATTGCGGCCATAAAAATGTTGAAATTAAGAATGAACAAGAGACGCCAAATGCGTATCATGTCATATGCATGATTAGCATATATAGATTTATATAATTTTACAAAATAAAGCACCGGCATTAATATTATGTAAAAGGAGGGACGCGCCGCTAGGATTTTTGTTTACTGCTAATTATGCGTGTTACTTTCTTTTACATGCCATTTCTGATTCAACAATATTCTCATTACATATTGACCCATTACTGATACATATAACATTGTTACCCAAGATTTTCCGCATTATACTTTTGTCCTTTCTTAGCCTACTCCACATTCTGTACCCAAATTTTAAATTAGAAGCTTTACTCGTCTCGATCTGAAACTTCCGGTTGAATTTGCATTTGCTGCCGATTGCATCACAAATTGCTTGAACACACAGTACAGGGCAGCCTTGAAAGACAAAACATCAATATTAATTAATTGTACTTATCCTTCAACAGACTGTTTATAAAACAAGAGAGAGATCAAGATAAAAGAGAAATTAATTGGAATTTTTACTTTTATGTATTTTTGTGGTTGGAATTGGAAAAGCTCAATTCTTTTCCTTTCTGTCTATCAATACTGCATCTGATTCAGAGGTTACTTTCAAGGTGTCGGGGTGTGTGTAGAATAGCTCTCCCGCCCGCGCCAATTAACTTCTCCTCTCTTAAATAAAATTTTCAATTTAATAAAAATAAAAGGGAATATATAATCAATATATATATATAATATTAATTATATGGTCAGACCTGTAGAAAAAAAGCTAACACATGCAGCTCCTCCTCTTTTATATTCAAAATGATTACTATAACTAATACTATATTCTTCAATCATAATAATTTACAAAATATTTTGAAGATCTGAAATGAGGAAAATGAAATCCATTCAGTAGGGTCCAATTTCTGTGGGGTTTCTACAACGTACATCTGTCACGTGTCGAGTTATTGTGTTGCATGGCCCATGATTCAGGGTCTTGGACTATAAACACAAGACTTTCTCTCATCTTAAGAAAAATATGAAGTAAAACAAAACCAAACAAGCACACAGGGAAACTCCCAAATAAATAACACCCTTTTGGATACTGAGCAGTCCCCCTCCCTTGTGTTTCTCCTTTCATAGAGATTAGAGAGAGGTGTATCAAGCAAGATCTTTAGGCCTCTCTTCCTTCCTCACAATCTTTGGTTTATAATGAAATGAACCAAGATCTAAACCTCTTCTTCTCCGAAGAAGATGGCTAAGTCAAATGCTCAACTACAACAACAAAACCCTACTTTCCTTCTTGATGCTCTCTACTGTTCAGAAGAGAATTGGGAGGAAGAAGTCAGTAATGACTACTTCCAAGAAGAACTAGAAGAAAACTATTATTTTAGTAACAGCAAGCCTATTCAATTACCAATCTTGCTAGAACAAGACTTGTTTTGGGAAAATGATGAAGCTTCCACATTATTATCCAAGGAAGTACCAAACCATCTGTGTAAAAACCTGGAAACTAACCCACCTCGGGCAAAGGCTCGCCGTGAGGCTGTTGAGTGGATGCTCAAGGTCAATGCCCACTTCTCTTTCACTGCTCTCACTGCAGTTCTTGCTGTCAACTATCTTGACAGGTTCCTGTTCAGTTTCCACTTCCAAAGAGATAAGCCGTGGATGACACAACTGGTTGCTGTGGCTTGTCTTTCTCTTGCCGCCAAGGTGGAGGAGACACAAGTGCCACTCTTATTGGACCTACAAGTATGTTCCTTTTACTGAATCTTGTGTTGGGTGTGTTGTCTGTTGAGATTATGTGTTTCTGATGATATTTGTCTTTGTGGGGTTATTTGTTTTGTTTAGGTGGAGGGAAGTAAATATGTATTTGAGGCCAAAACTATCCAGAGAATGGAGATTTTGGTTCTCTCCACGCTTAAATGGAAGATGAATCCGGTGACGCCACTTTCTTTTCTCGATTACTTTACAAGGAGATTTGGGCTAAAAGACTATATCTTTGGGGAATTTCTCAAGAGATGTGAGCGTACCATTCTCTGTGTCATTTCAGGTAAACCATCAAAAAATTTGCTTTACCTCATCGTTACTAATCCTCCGAAATCTGTTATCAATTTAACCAAGAAAATGACGATTTTGTTATATTCTGTTTGTTTATCTCTAGATTCTAGGTTTATGCATTATCTACCGTCTGTAATGGCCACTGCTACAATGCTTCATGTTGTCGAAAGCATAGAACCCTGTCTTGGAGTAGAATATGAAAAACAGCTATTGGACATTCTAGCAATCGACAAGGTTGGAGTCTTATTCCTTGTTATTTTAATGAATCTTATAATTTTGTAAAACTATTTTCTACATTGCATCCCCAAATTTGATTGCATTCACGAAACGTTGATTATGCCAAACAGGACAAGGTAGAGAAGCTGAAAATGGAATTGGCAATAGAAGGGTATGGCAACAAATCCAATAAACGCAAGTTTGGTTCCATTCCAGGCAGTCCAAACGGCGTAATGGAAGTGTCGTTTAGCTCTGATAGTTCCAACGATTCGTGGGCAGTGGCATTGTCAGTGTCTTCTTCGCCTGAACCACTATCCAAGAAGAGCAGGGCTGAGGATCAGCTCTTCCAGAGGCTAAACCATGCTACTCCGGATTTTGTTACCATTCCTCGCTAGCTAGCTCCTTCATTAGTTATCTATCCTTTCTTATGAACTTTATAAGTCTCTGTAATAATATATACTGTTCTTTTTTATTATCTGCAAGTTAAAGTGCTTACCATCTCTGCATTTCCTAACCTTAGCCGAATTCCGGTGCTTTGCATTTCTTTTTGGGCGATGGATACGGAAATTTGAATTAGAGATGGTTAGCATTTTATCCAGACGGAAGTTCAAAGAACATGGACATAGCAATGAAGAGTCCTTCCATTTATAACACCTCTGTTACTACTGTTTTAAGCCCTTCCTTTTCATGAACATAATATATATTTATATCTGTAGCTTATATGATTTTCAATAAGATATAATCTCCGTTCCCTTATGTGTTAAGCCCTTCCTCTTTTATGTCAATAGAGAGCTTAAACATATGAATGGTAGTAAGATACGTAAAACTAAATCTTTCATGATTTTCATTTGGCAAATACATGCTTGTGTGTTAATGTATGGGTCATTTTTCTTTTACTTATTTCTAATAAAGTAATGGATGAGATGAAAATACATAGAATTTTTTTGCTTGCATGTGAAGGGAAGAACATGTTGTCGGCCACTGGCATTTTTGGGCTTAATTTTCTGCTTATTGTTTGAGTTTTGGCCTCGTTTAAAGAGCCTATTTCTTTCTTTGAAATGACTGTAAATGGAGTGAGCTACATAGCTGTAAAACCGTCCAATTTTGATTTTTTATAGAATACTTCTTCCAATACCTCTAAAAATATATATCCTTTTCCGGTTTTGCTGGTTGTTCACACAATTTGTAGTTCAAAGAAGAAACCTTCCTGCTTGTACTTGTAGTTGAAGAGCTCTACAACTTCTAATGTTCATTCCCAATATCAAGTACACTTGATGAGCCACACAAGAGGGATTAGGTTCCCTAATCTATTATTTATTATAACTAAAGGAACAAGTATATAATTATACTATGATGTTTTAACAAGCAGTACATATAGACAAGGGTCTTGAACTAAGGCTTTTGGTTCTTGACAAAGCACTGTTTTTTAAGCATTACATTTGAATGAAAGGCAGATGTAGGTCGTCCAACTCCAACCTAATGAGACAAAGTCAATGGGAGCTACCATTCAGAGATTATTGAGTGCATATATTAGCATAGAGTTCACTCTCTTGCTTTTTGAAAGTGAAAGAGAAAGAGAAAGAGAAAAGAGTCTAAATCATATTATACTCAAAGAAAAGGAAAAAGAAAGAAGAAGAATATTAACCCAATAAATAATCCTTAATTACGTACTACATTCAAAGTTGTGATATGATTGATTTCGTATAATATTTAGCCTACTATACAATGATCAGTCGACAAATTAATTATATGGGGTTATTAGTTGAAGGGTTTTCACAGAATTTGTCAACAAAAATCATCACCTAACCACCAAACACACAAGGACAATGTAGTTATATTCTCTGTGTTATTTTTACCAGGATTATGTAAGTAAGAGATGGAGTTTAGAATATAAACAAAGTCCTACCCACTATCCTGCAAAGAAAAGTCAATAGTTTTGTTAGTCAAAATTTTCCAAACATACGCTTAAACTATTGGTCCACCCAGTCGATCTTGCTGAAGAATAGTTGATGATACCAGAAAAGACACTCGCAAGAAGGTTTGCATGTGCTTTCTATCACTTCTTCTTTAAACTAAAGGGAATCATGAATTGGCTTTATTCTCCATCTTAGATACACACCTTTCTAGATTTTATTTTCTAAAATCGCTTAATCTGATCGACTTATTTATACAAGCTGATATATAAAATATTATCTGTACCGTGAATGTCGGAGTAGTTTATAATTGATTTCCCCATTCATATTGACCAGTGGAAGAGTGTAGCCTTTGCTCGTGTGCTCTCACTTGTAAATGAGCACGTTAATATTGCAGCAAAGCAGGTCACACACCTTGTATATCTTTTAACACTTTGGTTTCGAAGATTACTCATCTTTTTGTTGAGATTCGCGTAAAATTTGAAAGATTAGAATATGGGAGATGTGAATGTTGTGGAGTTGATAAGAACAGAGGACCAAAAAGAAAGTACAGGATTAAGCCGTATTAACCACATAAAGTAAGCATAAGAGAAGATTAAAAAGAGATTTTGGATGCAATTAGATCCCACTAAAAACACACCCACTAAAAGGGAAAAAGTTGAAAGTTAATGGAATGTTGAATTTGGGGGACAATATCTTTTGATTTTGTTTGATATGTCTTAGTTGGTCTTTTGCTCTTTGCTTTTGGTAGTTAGAAGTGTGGACTGTAGTATATTTCAACCCTAAAAGAAAAAGAAAAAGAGACTATCTTAAAATATGAATTGATGTTCATAAGATAGGGAGGAGACAGTAATACTAATTGGTTCCAGTGAATATCTTCTCTTCTTTTCTGGACACTGCCACATCTTTTAACTCCCTAATGCTCACCCTTTTGACCTTGTGTTGTGAGCATTTTGGCATTAATTTTACAGTTTGTCCAGTTGCCCACAATTAAGTCTAAACTGATGACAATATACAATAAATTGTCTAACAATCGACGGCCATTTAATTTCATAGGAAGCAGTAACTGTTGCCAACCGGCAACTCAATCACTTCCTGCGGCCTAACTCCATATAATTTTATCCTATGAGAAATATGTTACATGATAATATTAGCCATTAATATGGCACAAATAATATATAGCGACATTAGGGTTCCAGTCCACCCTAAATGTAACATGTTCATTTATTAAGATAATATTAAATTTTCAGACCTCAAAAATAGAAAATGATTGAACCGATAAAGGCATAGTCCTAGATTCACACGCTAAAGAAAACACAAGATTAAATTTTACATTTAGTCCTACCACAATAGTACAATACAATACAAATTAAAGAATACATCATTGGCATATGATGAGGCAGTTTTAATAATATTCTAGTAAATAATCCCTCTGGTGTAGCATTAATGAAGCAGACCCACTTTACAGAGACTGCAATTCTATTCAATGGAAAGGAGAGTTTAGAAAGATGGGACAAAATGTAATCCATCGAGCTTCTAGGAGATGCACATTCCATGCGTGAATGGTATAATTGTACAGGACTGGACCCTTCAATCCTGACGAAAAAGATTGAAATATATTTTGTTTTGCAGACTAGTTGATAAAGGGCACCACAAGATGAGTATCCAATGGGCTAGGCGAGCTGGGCTCTTATTGTCCCATCTTAATTGTCACCATCTTATGTAATGCCAAACAAACTATTAAGTCCTCCTGCAACAGCCAGCTAGGTAAAGACATATTCGCATTAGTTTTGTGTGTAAATTATAACACTGCTTCGTGCATGGAGACAATAGGCATATAGTTAAGAATAAATGGTCTAAGTTTCTATTGAAGCCACAACACTAAGCCTTAGGTGCCCGCATCGTGGTCCAAATGAAATATGCTGTACATATTTAATTTACATGTAAACTAACTAATCTGTCAGAAAGAAAAACATATATCATAGAATACCTTGATTGACTTAATTTGAATGTAAAAACTTGATTTTAAATATTCGAGTGTATACATGTGTTACGAGGAAAACATCAAAGGAAACGCCGAGGGACAGTTAATGTAGACAGAATGGATGGCAGAGTGGTCCAAATGTGGGGTGGCTAAATGGGCCTTCGATTCAGATCCCTGTGAATTTTAATTCCTGTGAGTTGTGGGGTATTGTGGTATTGTAATACTGTAAAGCCAAAACAAGTTTTGGAAATGACAATTAGCCCTCAACTCAAATGTCCCTTTTCATGGACCAAAAGAAAGGGACATGGGTAGATTTTAGGTGTCTTGGGGGTAAAGGCCATACCAAATATCATTAAAATTGGCGGCAACTAACCCATATGGGCTATGGCATTACCAAGATATATATTTGGGTCTATTTTTGAAGCCTATCATCTTAATTTGTCAGAGATTACAACTGTATGTAGAAAATATACTATGATCAGTAAAGCACTTTATTGCACTTCAACTAGGATAAGAGGTTCTAAAGAATAAAGATCCATGATAGATGGATATAGCTGTGAATTTATGTTCCAACCAACCTTCTTCTACAAAATTCAATGATAACTTAGGACCTAATGACTCCCATATATCTATGAGTATTAAGTTAGCTTTAAAAATTGAAAATAAGTGCAAAATTTTGTGTATACTATATCGGTGTGTGATTTTAAATGCAATCAATATCGAACAAATCATCCTCTATTCCACGGAATCAAGATCTTTGAAATGTGAATGAAAATGTGTGAATTAGAAGTGTAGTGTGTGGAACCTTAGCCCAAATTAATTTTTGTCCAAAGATGTATGTACCAAATGTTTTGATGGTATCAGATCCCAAGCTTAAAGTCTTGGCCCTTTTCTCTGCCCGTGTGGTGAAACATGCCCAATATATGTGGACGAGCTTGGCCCTTTTCTCTACTAATATATGCCCATCACATGTCGAAGGGCTTTTCAGAATAAAATTCATCTTACTTTTTAGTTTACATCATGCACGATTCAAGAATAGAAACCAATGGGCCTATGTTTAGGCTTTTGGTTCCTGTTAACCCAAGAATACATCTAGCTCTGATTCGTTTGTGAATTTTGAGGTAAGTATTGTATCAGTTAATGATATTGAAATTTCAAGTGAAAGTTTTAAGTAGTCATTTGTATTTATTTTTTATTTGTTGCGATTATAATACAGTTTTTATAAAAGTACATATTACATAAAAGTACATATTACAAACATTATTGTCAAGATTCATCTAAATACATAGTATANCCAGCTAGGTAAAGACATATTCGCATTAGTTTTGTGTGTAAATTATAACACTGCTTCGTGCATGGAGACAATAGGCATATAGTTAAGAATAAATGGTCTAAGTTTCTATTGAAGCCACAACACTAAGCCTTAGGTGCCCGCATCGTGGTCCAAATGAAATATGCTGTACATATTTAATTTACATGTAAACTAACTAATCTGTCAGAAAGAAAAACATATATCATAGAATACCTTGATTGACTTAATTTGAATGTAAAAACTTGATTTTAAATATTCGAGTGTATACATGTGTTACGAGGAAAACATCAAAGGAAACGCCGAGGGACAGTTAATGTAGACAGAATGGATGGCAGAGTGGTCCAAATGTGGGGTGGCTAAATGGGCCTTCGATTCAGATCCCTGTGAATTTTAATTCCTGTGAGTTGTGGGGTATTGTGGTATTGTAATACTGTAAAGCC